GGGGTCATTATTTGGGTTTCTTTTGTCATTTTGCCCTTGCATCATTTTCTTGTTTCCCTGATAACCATACAGCATAAACGTTTAATTCTTTTCTCGAATGTTGACTTCGACTTTATCGACAGACTCAACGAGTTGGTGGCCGATGCGTACCTCTGGGCGCTAGTATGGGCTGCCAGGCTGGCGTTTACCTGGCGTTCAACTCCGAGTGCCAAAATCTGGCCGACGCCCAGAGCGCCAGCAGAGACGTCACAACGGTCCAGGACTTCACACGACAGCGCAGGCGCGGGCCATCGAGGCGGCGACGTCTGAGGCAACTGCGCAGGCGCACTTTCAGTCGTAGAAGGGATAGCTAAAGGAATCGATACGCTCACTGCTCGTGCACCTCTGAGGGAAGGACGTTTGAAAGCAGAAAACAATCAGCCATTTACAAGAAACACACGAACAATCGCTGTATTCATAATGATCATTGCAGGCTATTTGCACTCATTTTCATTAATTAACATTAATTGTTTCAACGTTTTTTATTTTGTAAATGCACACCCTAGGCCCTATTAACAGTACGGCATAATTCGTTTGATCAAATTTATTATTGTCGAAATCAAATTATTTGTGTTTGCTTTATGATTTCAAAACTATATTAAAAGAAGAGTATTTCTTGTCTACTCATCTGTTCTTTTCTTCTTTGTGAATACATGTTGTGTTGACGCGATATTCATGGTTTGTCACGACTGTGAACCTTACGTACTCGGTCTGATACCCGCAAAAGAAGGAACTCAGATGAAAACAAGTTTTTATAATACACCTACCTCGTCCAGATAATATTTGTAATAAATTTGAAACCCAACGTTAGATATTATGCTTTGAATAGAGAGCAATTTACTGTGTCTTGATTGGCAAAATGATTTATAAAGTACAAAATTATAGCATTTCATGCAGGTGAGACTTCTGTTATTTTGGGCATCCTCTTTACTTTCAAACAGGTAAACTTTATATTGGGGATTTTTACGCGGCAGATCGAACTTCCCATCAATACGTTTACTTGGATCTCCAAGTGATAGATTAGAACTCTTAGGACTGTTGGTCTAGTATGGTAAGTTATAGTTAAAGATTGAAAGGATTTTCAACCCAAAGTGAAATCCACAAGTATAGTAATCTTTTACTATTCTACAGGTAAACTTCGGTCCTGTCTCTAAGCGTTTTCACGCATTTATTTATTCACGTATTCAAAGAAAAAAGATGTGGGGTGGGGTGGGGGTGGGGTGAGTTAGGAATACCAGTTGAAAAAACCCCAAACGACATCCCTTTTCTCTGTCAATTGTATTCTCCAATGCTGCAGGCAAATATTATGTTATAGTAAGCTCATTCTCTGAGTAAGTCCAAGAATTTAAAACTCGTTCCTATTGTGTCAGTGTTAACCAATGTGTGACTGCTTACTTTTCTATAGCTTACAAATATAATGTGCATTTTTAGGACTTTACCTTTGGTACTGTTGCCTCATTAGTCTTCAGCTTCGAAGGGCAGAACATAATATTTTAATTTGATTATGCTTGTTGGAGTATTTTGTTTCCCATATTGATGATTTGATAATATTATTGAAGGTTTACACAGTGCGAGATGAATATCGAAAAGACTATAATCAGGGGAGGGTTGGGAGTGGGATGGGGGTGGAGGTAGTCAAAGCTGAGTGGTTTGGATATTGATAATGTCAACGTATGACAGCAGATTCTATTCCCTGCTGAGAAAAAGCACGACACCCCATTTCCTTAGGGCAATGGATGTCGCACAGTATTAAATGTCTAACATGCAGCAGTGATGTATGTTCCTCTGAGAGTACTAACTTTACTCTTTCCGGCCTCTGTTGCTTTGTGGTATCGAGGGGAGAAGCAAACGTCTTTATCTTGTTTGTTTTATCGCCTGTTGCATGATCATGTAGTTCTTGACTGCCCCCCCCTCCCACCATATCTTTACCTGCGGCAGCCCCTTCCTCTGTTTCCGCCTGATTTCTCGTTGTATGCCGTCACTGCTGTAATATCGGTGGCGGTAGCCTTGTTAGGTGACCCGGCCATTGGATTCGTTGGTCGTCAATATTGTAAGCAGGGAGGTGAGCCAACTTGTTCTCTGATCGTTTCGTGTCTCACCCTGTTTACCTAAGGCATCCCATTTCACAGGCGTGGATTTTACTTTGGTGGTTCTTGATTATTGTCCATGTTTGGGCTTGGTAGCACAGTGCCATTACATATTATTTAGATGATATTGATAAGTTGGCGATTAGCTTCCAATGTTATTTTAGGGTGTGAAAGTATTAGTGCCCCTTGGTAAGACACAGTTTTGGCCTTTTTTATCCTGGTCCCTCGTGAGATTAAAAACAGATACAATTGAAATGCATAAGCTATCTGAGACAGAGGTTTGAGAAGAGAAAGCGAGAGAGAGAAAGAGAGAGAGAGAGAGAGAGAGAGAGAGAGAGAGAGAGAGAGAGAGAAGAGAAGAGAGACAGAGAGAGGAGAGAGAGGGGGGGAGAGAAAGAGTGAGAGATAGATAGATAGATAGATAGAGAGAGAGATAGATAGATAGAGAGATAGATAGATAGATAGATAGATAGATAGATAGATAGATAGATAGATAGATAGAGAGAGAGAGAGAGAGAGAGAGAGAGAGAGAGAGAGAGAGAGAGAGAGAGAGAGAGAGAGAGAGAGAGAGAGAGTCATATGAAAAGTTTGAGAATTTTCCTTTGAGCGGGTGCAGATCAGTAGCAATTAAGTACCATATTCTCGTCAAGGAACAGTGATGGTCTTTAGGCTAAGCTTTCACTGCATTGTTTGACAATGACATTATGTTATAAATAGAGACATACTTTTCTATTTGAATTGTTATTTTTTATTGTAGTGTCGATGTCGCTAGAAACATTTTGAATGCCTAGATTGCCATTGTTTCGCATTTTCCCTGCTTACAAAAATGAAAGTAACATTTTCCCCCCCATTTTGTTTAAACGTTTTGTTTTTCCATTTTATGTACAAATTCAATTATACTAGACTGTGTGTTTCATGCGTACTCAACACAACCTTAAATTTATAGTGGTATTTGCATATTTACTACCTCAATACAAACTGTTTCTCAGTATCTCATCTGGTGAATTTCTTCTTCCTTCAATACATCTGCTGCATTTACATACAACAGATATTTAAATGACTTTCAATGATGTAACAATCTTGTGTAGTTCAAAATAACGTGTATTGTGTAGTGGTTTAAGGATTCTTTCAACACAGTTTAGTGCTCAAGAGCAGGCTAAAACCTAGGGTATTTGGAACTTTTTAAAAGGATTTCTTTCAGGAAGCAAGAAAACTTCCCTCATTTCTAGAATATGATTGCGCAAACTGAGGAAAAAAAGTTGCATGTGGAAGTTGAATTACCGAATTATTTTTATGGCTGATCACAAAAGAGACACTGAATGGTAACGGCCTAAAAATCACAGTTGGATGGCCGTAAAAAAACTTTTATGTAAATAAATTGAATTTCAATTTTCACTTACAAATCAAGACTCCCTTTTTGTGTTTCTGTGATAGGTTGGAAGTTTACAGACCGAAGAATTGAGCTCACTGTGCCGCGGGCAAAACATGTCTCCCCCCTCTCCCCGCCAATTTTACCTAAAGTACCTCAACACACAGGTGTATTTTGTTCTTAGTCTGTCTGTCTGTCTGTCTGTCTGTCTGTCTGTCTGTCTGTCTGTCTGTCTGTCTGTCTGTCTGTCTGTCTGTCTGTCTGTCTATCTTTCTGTGTCTGTGTCTCTGTCCCTCTGTCTCTGTCTCTGTCTGTCTGTCTGTCTGTCTGTCTGTCTGTCTGTCTCTCTGTGTGTCTGTCCGTCTGTCTGTCTGTCTGTATGTCTGCCAGTCTGTCTGTGTCTCAACATGTGTATATATGCGTGTATACTCTTCTTGGATACGATCTTAAAACTTTATCGCGATCGTCAACCTATAAATCAACTGCGCCACAGCATCCGGGTGTTCAAGGTGCCGGTGGAATACAGAACGTCAATGATGACTCACCAAGACGACCATTATGGGAGACACCTAGCAAAATTAACCAAATGTCAGGTAGACAGTAGGAGCTTAATACTCCTTTCTACTCAGCTTTTCTTTAAAAAAAGGGAGGGGGGGGGAGAAGTGGAACTTCAAATTATTCAGTTTTTCCTACTTGTACCTTGTAAAGCTCGAGGAGCGGGTGGGGGAGGTGGTGGTGAGTCATGAAAATTTCTCGAACTATTCAGATTTTTAAAGAACACCCCAGGTAAATTTGAATGAGCTTTCTCCCTAGCCCCCTAGCCCCTAAACAATGCAGCCAGACATGATTCTAACTGAACAAACTGCTCGTACAAAAGGAAATGAAATGCCTGAGATTGTGGAGTTTATTTCTACCAACACATAAAAACATTAACTTGAGAAAAGACTCTTATATCAACATAAAATATCGTGAGCGCTTGAAAGTCAACACCACTCCTCACAGAAGAAACCATTACATAATATCGAACGTGAACAGTGAGAATCACTCCCTTCTTGGCCAAGGTTGAGTTCATGACCAACTACACAAACTGACCAACTCCCTGGAGATAAGCTTCTGAAAGCGGATTATTGAGACAACGCAAAGAGTCTCCTTTAGAGCAGAACTTTCAGTCTAACCATGTAACTCCGATAGAAACCCGTTAGTGGGTGAACGCTATTCAATTCTCGAAGGTAAACATGAAGAAATGATAATCAAAAGTCTGGTGTTTTTGAAAAAAAAACAACCCCGCTAACTTCTTGAAAAGGCCACACCTAACTTTCAACTAATATCGGGGACAGAGAGAAATTCTTATGCGATTGAAATGATCTTACATGTTTTAATCCCTCATAAATGAAATTTGGATGAAAAAGAAAACAGGCTGATTAGACTTTCCTTGTCAGGGCGGGCCTTGGCTGGGTGGGCTACAGAATTCCTGTTGAAAGATGGAGGTACTTCTGGCTACCTGACATGTAAATCAAACTCATATCTTTACATGCAACTGCGGAAAAGCTAACCATTACATCACAGACACCGACGCACACTTCTGCAGCTCTTAAAAATTAGTTGCATAATAGTATACATGTATTAATACAAAGCCTAAACATCAAGAAAACCGAAACAATGGTGATAAGCAGAAAAACTCTAGCCCCAACATGCAATATCAAAATCAATGATACCACTCTCAAGCAAGTACAACATTTTAAATATTTGGGGACCATTATAATATCATCAGATGGGAGATGTCACACCGAAATTAAAAGCTGCATTTTGCCAAGCAAAAGCAACTTTCCACAAAATGAAACAGTTACTAACAAACATCAATTTGTCACTGGAAACGAGAAAAAGAGTACTGAAAAGTTACATCGAGCCAATCCTATTATACGGATACGAAACATGGACAATCAATAAACAGCTGGAAAGAACAATTGTAGCGACAGAGTTGTGGTTCATAAGACGCATGCTACGTATCCCATGGACAGCTAGAAAAACAAATGAAGAAGTCTTGGTTTAAGCAAATTAATGAAGACAGCTTATGATGAATATAAGAAAGCGACAGGCAAATTTCTTCGGACACACAATGCGGAAAGAAACATTGAAGAATATTGTAACATCAGGCAAGTTTGATGGA